ATTAAATTTTTATTTTTATAGCCTCTTTATCTTTGCAAAAGACTAAATTGCAAAGTTTTTAAACTAAATTTTCAAACTCATGCTAAAGGTATTCGCTTTTTAATTACATAATTTTATCAAAGAAAAGCTGAATAAAGCCCATAATTTTGGTTATCGAATATAAATTCTGAGAAACCCTTGTGTATATGAGCGTAACTAATCCTTAAGTTGGCGTCTTCGGGGACGCTAATTGGCTCGTTATACCCAAGTTAGGGCCTAAAAGTACAAACACAATTTGTACATTAACTATTTTAAGTGTAATTAATTAATTAACTTACAATTTAGTAATGAATTTTATGTTATATCTAATGATATAGAAATTCTACTTAAATGTTTTAATAATCACTGGTTGTTTTTAAAGATACAACAAATAAAAAAATATTGTTTATTCATTTTTATTAACGTCTTTAATGAATACATTAATACTTTGAAATGAATTGTTACGTAGAAAATGTAGTTACATAGTTCACTAAGGGAACTTTAATTATGAATGTGGAGGGTTACACAGGTAGAGTAGGCATAGGTAGAGATGGATGAAAAGCGTAAAAGGTGACATGATCAAAAAGAGAGTGAGATATTGAGGACGAAAATCTGATACACAGATTCTTCATGAGCGGTACAAGGACAGGGATATGATGATGAATTGTTACGTAATTTTATACGACAGATAAATAGTGATTAAAAATGATATCTTAAACCTTAAACGCAATTTCATCAAGTTTAATTAATAAATCGTAAAACTTGAAGGATACTTTGAGATTCAAGATACGCCGGCCGTCTTTGTAATGAAAACAAAATTACAAAAAATCTCTACAGATTGTAAATTGAGCTGAGCGGAGCGGCGTGGGCAGAACTCAGCTTGAATAATTTAACACCTTAAACAGTCGAATTCAAACGTCATTGTGATGAGTCCTAAAATTACAAGTTTATATACTTATGTGTTTATATAATTTACTAAATGTATCCACAATTCAACTGCATAGTTCCTTTCTGTCTGATCTGTCATGCACAATGTTACTTTGTTTATTGTGACTACGCTCCGTAGGTGTAACATCGTCAGGATGTTTCAAAATTAGTATCTAAAGATAGAGCTCAAAGATCTGTTATGCATTAACTGTTTACAGAAATTGTAAACTTTAATATACCTCGCAATACCTTGTGTATACATTGACATTTGCAGCTAATGGAAGAAAAATAATCCATCTAATTCACCTTAGCTTTTATTGAACAAATTCAAATCACAGCTTTAATTTTCTTGCACCATGAATCTGAGAAGTGTACAAATTTTACATAAGAACAATTTGGCTTTAAAATACGTGTACTTTTCTTATTATCCGATCAAAAAGTTCTGATAGCTGTTAGCGCTCTTCGCGTCTCTGAGACCAAAATATTTGTATAAAACATATCGTCATCTCAGTCACCATTTTTGAGAAAACAGATATAACAATATGTTTTAAACAAAGATCTTAGTCTCAAAAACCCTTGAAGTGTTTTTCAAGTATCTTTATCTAGCAGCTGGCTCTAATACTTTTACTCGAATATCTATATAAGAATGAAACAAAGTGAAAATAAAGTAGACTAGATAAAATGTACACGAGGAAAAATCATCATGTTTTGCAATTCACGTTCCAAATATTTCATTAATTTTAAATGAGCCATTAAAAATTAAGTTGGAATTTCCCTAGTCACATCTCAGCATACGTCAAGCGAAATCAGACCGTGTCAAGGAGTACACCATTAATCAAAAAATCTGCTTAAAAGCTAAAAAACTTTGATAACTTGCAGTTTACGGTTATTTTCGAGTGTGAGAGATTTCTTTTGACTACTGATAGAGCTTTTTATATTTTTATAATAATAATGACAATATTTCAGGCTCCTTCATAAAAATAAAAATAGAAGAAGCATGCAATGGTTTACATATTAATACAGCACTCAACAAATATTTTTAAACATATAAAAAAAACATTATGTTTTAAGCTCAAACATAAAGTATAAAACTTATTTGTATTAAAATATACTCAAATATACTCAAAGACATTTATATAATGACTACCAATACTCACCGCCATAAATATCTCCAATATTATTAACACTTAGTTTCACATAAATATTTTTATCTTAAAATGATTTTACGCGCACTATAGTTGTGAAAACTATAAATATGCGAATTAATGGGACCTTACTAATATTAAACTTGTTTTTATTTATTAGAAAATTTGTTTTGTTTTTATTTTTATAAATTAGAAAATATGAATTGTTTTTATTTTTATAAATTAGAAAATATGAAAATGGAAAACAATTTAGAAAATGAAATAATTTTCACTTATGATTTTATTTTATAAAATAAAATAGCGTATATAAAACCCGAAACAGCTCATTTGAACGTACGAGCGTAAATAATTAATGAAAAAGATGCGCTATCACTGAAACTGCGGTAATATGGTTGTCAGACTGTCACGATGGTTGTGTGGAATGTGATGGTGATGACGAAATGTATTGTGGTTAGTGCTTACCATTCGTCATGGTACCGTCGGTTAGTGGCAAAGCTGCGAGCACACTGTTGCGTTCCGCCGGGCGGCAGGCCGGGCTGCGCGCGCACTCCGGCCCGTCGTCAGCCCGCCAGCCCGTCAGCGCCGCGGCCTGCCCGCCGACGCCAGGCCACGAGGCCGCGCCTCCCGCACCTACCATCTCACTCCTGACACTTACCGCTGCACGCTCATCTCTTTGTTTAACGACACTTCATATTACTTACCGTTATTTTTCTTAACATTAAAGTAAAAAAAATGTGAAATTTTAGAATGTATCGCGTTAATGTGTATAGGATAAATGGTTTTATTAATTTTTAACATCAATGTTGTATTTTAAAGTTAAAGTATTTCTTACTTATCCTTCCCTATTATTTGTTACTTTGAATAGTAAAAGGTAATTGTAATACCTTTTTAAATGCGTTGTTTTTCTTGCAATTACAAGTAATAAAAATTGTCATGAATTGCAGATTCACAGCCATCATCATCATCAGCCTATGTCAGTTTACTGCTGCGCATTGGTCATCTCACATGTCTGCCTCTCATGGCAGCATGCGTTCCTCCGCGTACCGCATCCAGCGAATTCGTTCATTCTCCCGATCTCGTCTTTCCGCTGTGCTGATATGAAACAGGGAGATAAATAAAAAAACAGCGTGTTTTGTGGTTGGGTGTAAGCTAATAAAATTAATTTTAATTAAAAAAATATATATATTGCAAGAATGTTGTAAAAGCTACATATTTCTACATACTTGAGATATCTAGGTTGCTAAATAATGATAAAAATAAAATCGCACATATAATAATATTCTATATTTTTTTACAACTATATTGGTCTTTGAAGGAAGATGACCTCAATAAAAAATTGTTCATGAGGTAAGTCACCTGCACATTTTAAATTCAATTCCAAAAATTCAGTGAGTGTTATAAAATAATAAATTTAATTATAGCGTATTAAAATAATAAAATTGTTCAAACGAATAAGGAAGTGAATAACTGTTACTATACAGAACTACGTTCAAAGAATTTATGGTCTTCATTTATACTTGTTCACTTTATCATCGCATCTGCTATGACTAAAACCACACCATACCATCACCTCCTCCTCAAAATAAAAATTAAAACACATTTTAAATTTAAATTCATTTATTATTAAATAGAGCAAATTAATCTTATGTACTATTTATAGGTTATTTAAAAGATCGAACGTAATAACAATATTATTTTATTTTATTAAAAAAGATATTAAAATTATAAAATATATAAAAGAATTAAATTCATTAACACACCACACTTTTTCAAATTCCGCGCCTTTTGTCAATCAAGGCAGCAACGTTACAATAGCTGTCAAAACTGCCAACATTTCCAGTGTACTTTATTAATTTTTCTAGCAAATCAAACGTTTTCGTGACTTTCCCAAATACAAAACTCTCTTATAATACTTTTACTACGAATAACAATATTTATTTTAATATTTTATCCCTTTGTTATAAGTTTGTTTATAATAAATTGCTCAACGGCGTCGTATCCGGCCTCGTTAAACGGCCACCAGGCGGCGCCTCTAGTACAACGTCACTCGTGTGTAATGTGTATGTATAGTTTCCTTCTGTTTTGAAACCCAAGCAAGCTTAGTGATTTAGTTCTTTTGGTAATGTAATAAGTGATCCGATAGTGCTAATTGTGTAAAACTCCAGATTTGCTAAGATGGAAAAAAGGATTCTTTTGGAGCTTCGGGGAAGAAATCCCTCACAGGTAAATAGACCTACACTTCGTTATATCGGAATGTTTTGTCGATACGTATTTCGTCAGGCATTTAGGTGTTACAATCCAAAAACGTGATTACTCAAAATAAATAATTGGCCTTTTGTATTTCAAACCCGAATTTGGGCTTATAATAGACTGTTGGTCTTTTTAGATGTGGCGTTATTGTTTATAACGATAGCTATTACCGATTGTTACGTCTCATACATGTCCACGTTCTAATGTTACAAAGAGTTTAATTAAGATAAATATTTCTCCTTTAATATTTTTCCTACATACTCTAAAATAGTTCTAAATACACCAAAGTCTTAAATCTCTCAAAATGTTCATGTAAAATAATGTTCAATTTGAGGTTAAGTATTGAAACGCTCTAGACGTAATAAGTGTAGCTGAAAAGCAAACAAAACGATGTAAAGTACCAACAAGTATTAACGTAGCATGTACATTTAATTCCTTGTAAAATTTACATAATTGTAATCAATCATAAGTCTGATTACTTTTCAGCCTTACACTACTAGAATAACCGTGTGGAGTATTATTATCCCCTTAGAACTGAGATTATTTTAATCTTACTCTCATCTATAATCATAATTGCATTATAATACATATTTATCAGTTGCATTGCATTATTTTTGCATAGTGATTTTACGGTAATATAACTACTCGACATAATTTCGCGCCCTTTCACCTATCTCCATATTTTCTATAAGATAAGCGAAACAAAATGAAGAGTTGATAAAGGTTTTTGTGGTAATTTTACTTAGTTTGTTTATGATTGTACCAAAAATGTTATTCACGTAGCAACAAAATTTACTTGCATTTTGTAAACGCACGCCTTACCAATACAGCGGCCATTTTTATTGCGTCGCGATGATTCGTGTCATCCGCCATTGCAAATTGAGAATTTATCTAATTTAAGCGTCAACTAAAACACGGCATAACGTTTTGTTAAAACAAACGGTTACATATACACATCCATTTTATATTCCCGTTTGGTTTTAGCCAATTTAATCACTTGTTTGTGGGATTTTACAAACTACGACAATATGAATCTTTGACAACTCACACCATTTTGACGTTTTGATTGGCTTGACTTGAAAAATGCGATCAGAGGCCAGTTGTAGTACTTATTTCTTTAAAATTGTAGTGTATCTAATGTTATTACTCATTCTAGGAGTGAAAAAATCATCATTAAATTTTCGTGGCGTTTAACTTAACCCTTTTTCAACATCTATTATTTATTGTGTACAGTTGACGTAACCTAACAACAGAATAGGGTTACTAGTTTAAAAAAATAATTGTCTTAAAATACAATATTATTCATAAATTTATTATTGTACATGTAATAACACTACTTCAAAATAATAAAATCACAGTTACATGCTATGACTATTTTTAGGATGAATTTAATATATTCACATACATTGCAAGGCATTTGGAAGCCCTGTTTTTAACCATTTTTAAACCCTTGTGGAATTCAGGCTAAAAATGATTAGACTGCAAAAGGATAACAAAATTTAAATTGGTTTCAGGTCAAGGAGTTAAACTTAGACAATTGTAGAGGCAATGCAATTGTCGGACTTACAGATGAATATATTAATCTAAAAATACTCAGTCTCAATAACTCGGGACTTACAACACTGAAAGGTTTCCCAACACTTCCAAAGCTATGGAAGCTAGAGCTCTCAGATAATAGAATATCTAGTGGACTCAATTTCCTACATGGATGCAAAAAGTTGACTTATTTAAATCTTTCTGGTAATAAAATCAAAGATTTGGTAACTTTGAAACCACTAGAAGCTTTTGAAAAACTGAAAAACTTGGACTTGTTCAACAATGAAGTAACTAATATTGAAGATTACAGGAGTAAAGTCTTTGCTCTACATCCATCACTGAAATATTTAGATGGGTAATGTATTTTTGTTTTTATATTATTAAACTAGTACTAATACTTTGCTGCTGATTTCATTACATTGTTTACTATATTTTTTATTCTACTAGCTGATAAGAAAACTGGTTAAATAACTACTACTATACTGTAGTATACTTCACAATAGTAAAGGGGAACATTATCCATGGTGCTAAGTTATAATTATGTTAATTATCAATCTGTTAGAAGATTGTCTACCGTCCTTCAGATGAATGGGGCATATGAGATTACTGCTTTTGGAACTTAATGAATTTATCTTCTTGTAACTGTTGTTTATAATTTTGTTCTTAATTTTTAGATATGACAAAGATGATAAGGAAGCTGAAGATAGTGATGCCTTCAGTGGTGACAGTTACGAAGAGAATGGAAATAATGACAGTGAAGAAGATGGTAAGTAAATCAAAAGTTATTATAGTAATACATATTCTAACTGTGAGTTTTCACTGGCAGGACTTGTAAGAAAACAAATTGTCTGTGAATAGGGAAAGATAAAAATATCAAGATAGGAGTTTTGTTAGTGGAAACTCATGGTGTTATTCTTCAAAACAGTATTTATGTTAAATTTGTTGGGTTGCAGATGTGGATATAGATTTGGGTCCGTTGGTCATTGACGATGATTCCTTGTCACAAAGGCCGACAGAGACAAAACCGTCTCTACTAATGTCAATATATTCAGTTTATGGTCTCATATTCCACATGGGTTACCTATTAAAAAGTAAGCATCCTATTATTAAATAAGTGATGCTTTACTACATTTTATCAAAGAAAGCAAATTTAATGATAATAATTTAGAAAAATGTTAAATTATCATTGAGTGTGCCAATTCAAAAATTATTTCCTAATTTCAGAGAACATTATCTTAATTGTTCTTTTTTATATGTGATGCAAATATGATTTAATTTTTTAGCTGAGAAGAAACGTCAACAGTTCTTAGCTAAAATTATTTTTTATTTGTTTTTTTCTTATTGTGTTTTGCTTGTAGTGGTATTAATTAAAGAAAGAGTGCAGAATGCATCTGTTCCTAAATATATTTCATTTATTACCATATTTAATGCTGTACGTTCCCATTTTTTTAATAAGATTTAAAGATAAGAAAATAATTTTTGATATGATGTCCTCATATTTGCTTTGACTGTTGCTTCAATACAAAATAAGATACCATTTAAAGATTAATCTTATATTTCACTGGCTTGGGTAGTTTGTTTGTGATGTCCTTAAATAATTAATAAAATATATTTATGTTAGCATTGTTGGTCAAACCGTCAATATTGAATGAAGTTGTCAAACAAGGATTACTCTTAAGTTTTGCGACACATGCATCTATTACTACTTTTCTCTTCTCATGATCTTTTGGGAAGCCTAAACTGTTTTACTGAATGTTTTGCAACTTATGTGCCAAAAGTAATTACATCTCATTTGAAATTTCCATAAAATTCTTTTGTTGCAAGGGTTGATAAATGTATTTCTTACTGTGACTTCACAATTTAAGCCAATGCATTGGTTTGCATAGTAAATATCTGCAACCCTTTAAATTTATCGGAATGTTACATATTTGTTTTCTTCCTTGTTGTTACAGAGTCTGATGATGATGTTGAAGAAGAAGATGATGAGTTATCACTTTCTGAAGTCTACAATGAGAATCTTGGTAAGTTTTCAATAAATTTATTTGTAATAAAAATAATATGTATTAGTTAAAATTGATATAATTGGGCATAGTAAACATAAAAACCATTTATAAAAGCTTAGCTTGTCCTAAATTAAGTCAAAAATGAATCAGGATATTATAATAAATCAGGTACAAATTAATTAACAATTACTCACTTAAAGAAAATAACTTAACTACATTGATAAGTGTAGATTTACATTAGGGTGACCATGGAGACTGATAATTGCAGTTACTCATATAAATTTTATCTTTTCTACTAACAATATAGCTCAAACAATGGCCTAATATGTCTTTATGACTTACATAGTAAAATTATTCTGAATTAACTTGTAGAGGAGGAGAGCTCAGCGAGTCCATTGTATGAAGCAGAAGGATACTTGGATGAAGAATATGATGATTTTGAAGATGGTTATGAGGAAAATGATGCTAACGGTGAACACAACTCCAAAACACAGGGTAAGAATATATAATGCACTGAGCTGTTAATGTTCTCAATAAGCGTGGATTTTCACTGTGTTTCCGAAACATTACAGTTTTCTCTGATTCTTAAAACAGGACATTAACGACAATATGTTTTTAGAAATGTAATGGCAATGAATACCCATGGTTAAACTATTAGCCAAAATAATAAAATTAACATTATTTTACGTTATGCAATTTAATCTGTATACAATTTTGATTGAACTTTACATAGGAATGTTATGAAAAGTGAGTTTAGATAGGTAACCTAATATATTTTTATATTGTAACTTCATTCATATTGCAACAATACTAGTTACTCTATTATGATGTTGATATGTAAAATAGTGTTTAATTACTGTTGTTACTGTTACTAACAGAGGGCGCAAACACGCGGGAGAACACCGAAGAGAGCACTCGGGGTAAAAAGCGGAAACATGAGGACGACGAGGAAAACTGAAAGTTGCCTTACGCGGAGTTATCTTACTAGTTTGTAAGTGTACAGCGCTCCGATACATCGGACAATAAAGCACCACAAATTGAACTGTTCCCCGTAGACGAGAGATTGTTATGATCCGGAGCGACCGTACTGCGGAATGTTGCGTCTATTGAGAGGAATCTGTAGTTTGTTGTCCGACAAGTTAATGTTTCAATTAAATTGTTTATGTAATAATCATTTTTTATTCTATTGAAATGCTTAATTTTTAGTCTAATCATTGAATTGAAAGTGCATGGATTTTAGGGTTAAAAATAGCTCTCGACAAATCTTAAAAGTATAAATAACAATTAGCTATAAGTGAAATGATTTTTTTTTAATGATTCCGATGCCTTTTGACACATGACGATTATATTCCGATGTGGGTATTCCGCCTGTATATTAATATGACCAACTATTAGACTGGTTGAGACATATTAAATATGAAATAAAATTCTATGTCGTGACGATTTTCATATTTATGTACAAAAATGAAAACACAAAAGCAAAGAATAAAATAAAATGTTAGTAGGGGCAAACTGCATACTTTTGATTGACTTGTATATATTATTGTGTTTGAATTTATTTTATTAATTGATTTTAAAAATATATTTACTCTCTTGAACACCATTAATGTTAAATGTCTATGATTTCACTTGTAAATTTTTAATAATTATACATTTAACCAACGCCCGCCCGAGTTTTTTACGCTTTCTCCACAAGGCAAAAGAACGAATTACGACAAAACATCTGTTAAGTTGAATACCATAACAAGTCTGTGATTAACCTCAACTTGTTTTCGATATGCTGTCTTTTTATACCATATTTTAATGTTTCCAATGTCTAAACTTGTATAAAAAACATATTATTTTCTCACATATTTGAATAAATAACATGTTTTAATACAGGTGTAATGTTGACTCGTGTTTAATCAATTTTGGTGTGTTCCTTTGCTGAGTGGCGAAAACCGTGTGAACATCAGGTTTAATGCAATACAGTACTAAGAATCAATTACATAAATACTTTAAAATCACGGATTGTACAAACATTATTATTACTATCGACATTTCTAAAAAATCTTATTAAAATATCATATTTCTCTAGTTAATTCTAATCATAACTTTGATTAATAAAAATATATTATATATTAGTTACAAAACACATGGAAATATTTTCTAATGTACATTACATAACAAATAAATTATGCCTATGGCAAAGTTATCCATATTAACATTTTGCTATACATCTAGGTCAAGAACTTTGTTTTGTAAAATTTACAAGTGAATCCTTCGACGAAACTTAGATATAATTTTGTACTCGTGATTTGGACGTTATTGAACATAGATGGTGATCAAGAGTGAGCAATTTTAATATGTAATAGATAATTGATTAATTCAGGCAATGTGTTAAATACCCAAATGATATCAAAATTATATTGCAATCTCACTAATGATAATTCCGCTCATCAGTGTCGACAAAGAGCGTAAACAAATCAACTATCGTATCAAATACTAGGGCGTCTGATGAGTTAAGAGAATATTTTTCTACAATATATTTAAATCTTAAAAAGAGCAATTTATGCACTTGTATCAATGATAGTTATGAAATGTTCGGTTGATGCGTCATGGTGAATGTGCCAGAGATATGTTGAAGAGAATTTTTAGTTAATAATTTTATTGTATTATGTAAGTCATTAAGTTTAAGTAATTTACAACTTGGCCTGTTGATATATATTATATAATCCTATTAAGACTTTATTTCTGGGATTGTAAAATAAAAACTGAACCTTATCTTATAGTTTTATTAAAACCATATCTTTTTTTTTTAATTTCTAGATTGAGAAAACTATATTTTCACATCCAAAATTTAATTTATATTTCATGGATTTTGGCACTGAGTAGTAATTAGATTTTTGCATTATTGTGAAGATAAAAAGAGATTATTTGATATAAATGATATGTGCCTTAAAAACACATAAAAATTTGGGTATTGCATAATTGTAAACCCTAAACATACTTTTAAAAAAAACTCTTCATAAAATAAAAATTCTTGAGAAAATATGGACCACATTCAGATATGAATCTACAATAATGTTTCTATTTTGACTGGAAAATTGTACCATTTTAAAAGTAATAAGACAGCAACATAGTAAATTAATTATCTTGCTCTTCTAAAAACTGCTGTAATAATGAACTGTCAATGGGTATGATATAGTTTTCACCGCCATCATATGTTCTTTTGATTTTAACCAGCTTGTGGTCGAGGAACTCGGTGAGTTGAGCTCTGAGCGCGAGGTCGGAACTCACCAGGAACTGCTCTCGACACTTTGAGTACAAATCCTTGAAAGGTAAACCTGAAAGTGTAATAGTACACAAGACTTTAGATTAAATGGCCTGTTTTTCGATGGCCACCAGCGAATATTTTACTTTACAAGTCGTAAATTAATACATATTTTCGTAATGTAATGGTATGGGATGCAACCTGTTCAGACACGCTGGCCCCTTCCCATCTACATGGAACCAACAACAGAGCGGGTGCGGCTTGTGAAGCGGCTGAAAATGCAAAAGCATGCAAATACAGGGGTCTAGGCTCCGAATATCATTTTGTCCCATTCGGCGTCGAGACCCTTGGTCCGTGGGGTCCTAGCGCTTTAAGACTTTTTAAGGACATTTCCAAAAAATTAATCGACATCACAGGGGACCGAAGAGCTGGCAGCTACCTCGGTCAAAGAATTAGTTTAGCTGTACAGAGGGGGAACGCTGCCAGTATCTTCGGGACCTTGCCTAAAGGGACTCCTTTTATTAACATATTTTAGTTAATTATTCGGTTTTTTTTTTAATTTTATTTTATATCCTAGATTTAAGAGTTTATGTATTCATAGAAATAAGGATGTAAATAAATATTTTAATATTTTTCGTAATAAAATATTTTTTATCACATGCTTTGACTGACATTATGCAGAAGCTTAGACACCTGAATTCCCTAATGACAGCTACACAAAGACATCTGCAATTTCAGATCCGTTACAATTCTTTCCTTATAAAAAAGGTACGCAAAATTATGTGGTCTAAAATTAGGTCTCCATCTTACTAACTCATCAGGCTGTATGCTGAATTGCTTCCCCTTGATTTCTGTGTGGTCGTGGTATTTCACCGGGAGAGCCAGACTATTTGTGCACCCCACACCCACCGTATTGTTGTGGGTTCTACCATTATTAAATGTGATTTAAAACATGCAGTGTTTGTTGTACCTTGATAATTTTGTTGCTTGTGGTGGTGTAGCTGGTGCCGCACGATGAGGTTGTAGATGCCGCGCGCGTTGGCGGTGAGCGAGCGGTGTACTGCGGCCAGTGAGGCCAGCTGCAGCGCTCCACCGCCTCGCGCCGCACTGCCCGCCGCCTGCGCCGTCTCCTGCGCGTACGGCTCGAATGTTGTCACGTCCCACCATGTCCAGCGCAGCTTGCTCAACTTGCCGCAATCCCACACTGAAACAGTTTACAAAAACTTATATTACTTGCTTCATTACCTTTGGTAATAACAAACATGTATGCATGTAATGCCCACTTTGTTATGACTTATAAACTAAACCATATGAACAGTTTAGATAAAGATGTTAGATATATGCACCGGAGTTTCATAGATATCTTTTAACTCAACATAGTAAATACGTCTTTTTCTCGATTTTCAGCAGAAGTAATTGAATGTATGTTTATTTTCTAACTATATTGTATAAAAATTTACTACTCACAGAGTGGTGCATTAATATGATCGATAGTTGCAATCATATGAACATTCTTCAGTTGTGCCAGACTAGCTAAAATCGCCTGTGACTTTGAGTTACGTAGCATATCTCCGTCTATATTATGTACAATCAAGAACAAATCAACATTGTTTTCCAATAACTGGGAATCAATTAAATCAATCGTATCGCCAATATTGGAGGGTACTCTGGAATTTTCTAGCAAATCTATAACTATCGTCTCTAGAATACTTCTGATTGTTAAACTGGGGAAGAAACCATTTATAACAATACAAGGTTGGTCGTTAAGGTTCTTGGCTTGGAACTGTTGTAAGACTCCACGCTTGGAACCCACTCCATATAAAATAACATTGAAATTCTCACTTAATACATATAGCCATCTGTCAAATAGATGCTCATATGATTGTACTAAATCGGCTATCTTGTGCTCATGCTCTTTTGATATATAAATAGTTTCGTTTTCGTCATTCAAGTTCATATTCTTAAGTCTGGCGAGAGTGTGATCTGATGTTGTTATCTGAAAACATAATAAGGATTAATAAAACAACTCAATACTTTTCAATACTGTATGGAAATAAAATTATACACATGGAATACAAAATATATTACAGGCCATGTTTAAAATTGGCAGATGCAACTTAATCCTATTGTTGATTTAAATGTTGTGGCTCTAATGAAGAATACTCAATACTCAAAAAGTAGACACTTTAAAAGAGATTTTAATTGGTTCTTTTAGGATCACTTTGTTGTCCGTCTGTCTGTCTGTCAAGACCTTTTTTTGACATGGTCATAAAAAAATTTACAAATTGATAAAGAATATTCATACCTTTTTACTTGAATGCATCAAGAAGTAATTATCAGGAGTAACAACATATTCAGAATCTTTTGGCCTTGTCCTATTGTCCTTTCTGTTTACAATTTGTACTTTTTGTGGTGAATGTGAAGAACTTTTCTCATTTTCTTCATTACTTTCTTCTTCTTTCTCTTCAGCAGTCTCTGGCGCAGAAGAAGAATCTGACTGGAAAATTAATTGGTTATTTCATTATATCTTATTAATGTAATGTTTTATCATCTTTTAGTAGTGTAGGCTAGAGTAGCACAATAGAATGATAAATACATAATGTGCTAAAAATCTAAAAAAAAACCAACATAATCCTTAATCCTTACCAATATTAATATTATAAATGCGAAACTAACTCTGTCTGAAGATATTTCTATCTGTCTGAAAATACGTAAAAGTTTAAGTGAATGTTTTGTGAGTTTAATATGTTTTTTTGGTCGCGGGCGTAGGCAGTAAAATATATAACATCATTATATGTACCTCATCATAACTTTTATCAGGTACAAAGTCACTGCTGCTTCCATCAGAGAAGTCACTCTCCGAACTCTCACTTTGCACTTCCCTCTTTATTCCTGTGGTAGAAATATTTATAATGAATACACTTATTTTGAACATGCTTTAAAACATGGATGCTAAATAATTACTATTAACAGTAAACCAGTAATTAATTTAGTTTCAAGTCTCTGCAGAGAAAAATAATTACTATAGTTTGTAAGCCATTTGAGTACATATTTGCTTGTATGTAGTATGGTAGCTTACTGTATGTGGCGTCAATAAGACTTTGATGTCATAATATGACTACACCACAGTAATGACAGTGTCATAAAAAGTCAAAGCCCAGTGAACTCCTTGTAGGCGATAGCAATGGAGAAAAATATATAAAGAAAACTTACTCTTTTTTATGATATCTGTGACATGCCTAGGAGTAGCCTCAGTAGTGCTTAGGAGACGGCTTGTTCTAGACTTGCTGGGTGTCATCAATGGAGAATTGCTTACAGCTGCCTTGACTATGTTCTGTAGGTCATTCTTTGTGTGCCGAGATTTAAATTTGAATATATCTTGCCCGTCAACATCATCACTGCAGAACAAAGCTATAAATACATTTGTTTTTAATATCAAAATATGAGAAACATTTATGACTTTTGTAAAAAGTGAACTATCAGATTTTTTTGCAACTTCAATGGGCAACCACTTTTTACTTCTAATAGTTTATTATTTACCTGTAGGTTTTTCCGTGCATGATCTCTTAACATCTTCCTCTTCGGAACTTTCATATTCAATCAGGCTTCTTCTTTTTGTTGGCGTTAACTCCATATCGCCATATTTTTTTGGTTTGCTACGTATTCTTGTGCTTCGTTTAGGTGTAAATGAATTTTGTCGACTTTTATCTAAAATATTAGTTTATAATTAGTAAAAGAACCATGACTTTATTATTTGTATTTTAGGCAAAAGCCAAATGCCTACCCTCTATTAAACTATCTTCAGTTCCTGATGAAAACCGAATTCTATTTCTGCTATGCATTTCTGTATGATGTTTTAAATATATTTCTCTTTTTGGATTATCTTCACTTGTTCCACGAAACTCATAGCCGCCAAATTAGAAATTTAAAATTACTTTTTTGACAGTGACATTGACGTTGACATTCCAATATGTTGCCATGAGAAATATAGAGTATAAAATTGTTGACAGAGAGAAATAGAGTCAAAGTTTAAATTAATACACAAACTTCTTAAATTATAAAAAAATTACTTTCTTAGGATTATTTAAAACGTTATTTTTTCCACAAAAAGATAGTCTAAACTTGGTAATCTATAAAGATATGTTTAATGGTCTTAAGACTGGGTTTTAAGTGATTTGGTATCTATCTTTAGTACACACAAGTTTAACTAGCCGACACATTGCGATACGATAATCGCTTCTTGAAGGCTTTAGTTCCTTTGGCCTTAACATAATCAGATTGTATGTGAAAGTAGCGGATCCTATAAGTTATACCAGCTTTTTGCTAGTGTTAATGTGCTGCACTTAGGAACACTCACTACCAAAGAGATTGGTGACCATAGGTGGTTGTGACGTGTCTAATACCTCTCCACCAGGCATATATGGAATGCTTTTAAGGTAAAGATTTTGGGAAAGTATCATATAAAAATAAAATATACAACTTTATATCTTTTCGTTTATTTGCTCAACTTATTGACAATTTCGAAAATCACAGTTAATATTTCTGACAATTGTTTTTTGTAACTATCATATTACACGACAACATATGCCAGCTATGTAAACGGGAAGTGGGTATAAAATGGTATTTTATAAATATTATTACTTTTATTGGCCACAGTATTTTATTACTAATGTTGGGTATTATTACATCTAAGTTTTTATTTTAGAACTTGAGGGAAGTGAGACATTTTAATAGGAATAGACAGTTGTTTAGTCGACACATATTTGTATTGTTACATTGAAGGATAAGATATCAAAATGAGACACTGAGCAATATTTAACGATAACTGATCAATTCGACTAGCGCATGTCGCAAAGTAAAAAAGATAAGCAAAAACCAATGAAGAATTTTTTTTAAAGTATCTATAAACATTTTTAAATTAAGGCAATTTACAATTCATTGAAAACAGAAAGCATCGTGTGTTAAAACCTATGGGAATTTGTAAGAAAAAATCACAATAATTCATTGGAATAACACCTATAGATACAATATATTATTAGAATGGTGTCACCTGTGATACCACTTACAATTTAGTACTTAGAAATATTATAATGGTGGGATCGTAACTCCTCTATATACAACACCAACAATTTCATTATACTTATTACAAACACTCGAGTCGCCTACAACTTCTACACGTCACAAGGCTTGCTACACTCCGCAACAAATACATGCCCAAAGCTATTAAACCACAGGGTGACATTTTCAAAATAAAAATTAATTTCATATCAATATTTCCACTAAAATGGAGACAATATATTTGTACAGTCTGAAAAACAGTGATTAATAAAATAATTATTAATTTATTATTTCTAAGTAGGTACTTTGGACTTGACATCTGATGCTGACTGTATACAGGGCCTATGTTGTTAGCTTTAGTACGCCATATTCCAACATTTAAGCCTTGTCCGATGACATTTCCAACTAAGCCATGTGACAGAACTTTACATAGATTTATTGCATTCAATAACCATGCTACTTTCACATATGACCAAATGTGCTACTTGAACAGGTCTACCTCTCACAATACACATACAGGACTGATAAATATCAACTGTCCTCACAATAAGAATTATAATTTATATCAAACTAGATTTTTTTTAATAAAATGTTTGCCAATAATTGATGATAATTTTATTACATTCTGTATTAAATGATTCATGACACCGTCTGTTTATAATACGAGGATTCCATTCTATTATAGATATCAATAATTTACATTTAAAATAACCGTAAGAGAACATTCACAGAAACGACATACGTAAATTATAATTAATTATAAACCGAGCCTAAAACTACAACGCACAAAAAGCGTTCAGCTTCATAACACAATATTTAAAAGCGGTACCATAAAACGACAAAAAATATTAGGATCGAATATCGCCTTGAGATCAATCATAGTAAATGAATGGGATGAATCCCTCCTGGATTCACAACATACGGACAGTCGCAGTCCCACACTCCTCAGCCGCTTACACTGCATTCATAGCTCTTCTCTTCACCTGCTGGTGATCCTGCTTGTATCATTGTGTTACCGTAAAATATTGTACAACTGACACAAAACAAGCTATAAAACACAAAACATCAATGCCAAATCAATATATACTACGTGCACAAGATATTACAAACAGAGAGATACATTATGAGATATGGGGGTGACAAATATATTCAAAGCGACTTAATCTGGATATTGTCTTAGTGGAATTAATAACAACTTTTCTTTCATTATTCTCCCATAATGTATTTTTAACACAGTAGATATATTAATTTGACAAGGATGTATTATTTGTGTGTGTGTCAGCAGCTGCAGCCTGCAGCGATCAATTCACTAGCACTTCACTGTTCGTACCTTCAATCCGCATAGTCGAGGGTCTTTGGTATTGCGCGTGCGCTTACGTGTGGTGTCGCGCCTACGCGTGTTGTGTTAGGCGCGTGCGCGCGGCGCCTACGCCTGCTTGACGCGCTTGCGCGGCGGGCCTATGGGCGGTATCTGCTGCTGCTGGGTGGCGAGCGCGCGGAACGCCTCCGCGATCAGATGCGGATGCGAGGAGATCATGTTCTTCCAGCCCGCTGTGTCCATCACGTCCGTCGCGTGACTCCTGAAATTTGCCAATCGGACACTAAAATACGCGTTTTTAAACATAAAAAAAATATTTAAAGTTATAGGATGTTGATACTGCTGGTTTCTAATATTTCTAATAAACTTTTTTAATATATATTTTTGTTGTTAATTTTCTTAATATATATTTTTGATTCATGAAAAACTATGCTTATCTTACTAAGAAATGCGGAAGTTTGAATGAATATGGATGAATGTTTGTTATTAAATATCTCCATTACGGGGCTTAACGGATCTCGATGGCATTTGAGACAGATATAGAACATAGTCTGGGAGATCGCCTAGGCTACTAAGATTTTTAAAATTCCGCGCAAACAAGTCGCTTGTTAAAGCTAGTATACATATGCAATATTAACCATGCACAACATTTACATGTATAAATTCTTCGCTACCATAGAAGACTAGAAGTACAAAGCGGAAAAATACCAAAAGTGGCACATAGATGAACAATAGTTGTACATCTAGCAGACATGTGTAAGCATAGACAAGCGTTAGATAGAAAAGTACTGACGTGTTGATAAAGTCTATGGTCTGGGCTTTGAGCTGGTCGGCGGAGTGCAGGTCGGCCAGTATGAGCGTGTCCGCCGCCGTCTCCACCGACAGGCTGAGGCACAGCGCTTCCTCGCACATTACTTTTAATCTGTCCAGCGCATACTGAAATCAAAATAAAATAAGTTAGTATTATAACAATTACATTAAAACAATACTCCAACCTAAAGACAAATTTGTGTTACTTGTGCTGCGCTCAAAGTTGACATAATGCAACAAACACCTATAAATCTAGAGAAGACACCTAGGAGGAGTCCATAGTTTTTTTTTATTATTTTAAAGTGAGACCCTCTATTCTATTAATATTATGATAAGAATATAATATGGAATTGTAATTCTTTTTACTATTATATTAAAAAAAATATTTTACTTCTATGCCATGATATCGACGAAATTTTTACAAAAAAAACACACGTATACGTACTTTATCTGCTGCGGCTAATAGATCGTCGGCCATTTTGTCTAAATTGGGCGCTCGATCTGTGTATATGAAGCGCAACATCTCGCGCAGCACTTCGTGGTCCACGTCCGTGATGTCCACTCTATTTCTTTTTCTCTCTTCCATCTCGTGTTCAAACATGGCCGCGAACACAGGACTTCGGGCTGAAATAATAAAAGGTTAACTTTATTAAATATGTAAATTATAATAATCATAAATTAGTAAAGGAATAAAAACAGTTTCAACAAAAACCTTGTTTACAATGCTATTGTATTTATTAAATGTTATTGTCTTCAGAAATAAATTTATGTACCAAATTTCTGACCAATTTACAAACATGATGTGGGTTTCATTTTAATCACTACATTTGACCCAAATAAAGCAGTAAAATCTTTTTCCCCTTACCTCAAAACATGTAATAACTGTGGCTAAACACATACTGATAATAAATTATTCTAATAAGGTCAAAGAGCATAAATGTTTTATGTAATCTATAAAAATTGTTTACATAAATGAAATTTATAAAAATTATTTTATTATTGATTTACTAAAGTCTAATTGTCGCCCACGACTCCATCCGCGCGGAATTAAAAAATAACTTAATTAATAGTCTATGTGTTCTTTTAGGCTATTATTCTACATCTATACAAAATTTCAGCGAGATCCATGCAGCCGTTCTGAAGATACCTTCAAACAAACATCCATCCATCAAAACATTCGCATTTATAATATTAGTTAAAGTTAAAACATTTCAACTTAATATAAATATATTGTGATGGTTCATGAGTAAATTTTATAAACATCAAAATCATAAGCAATATTTTAACAAATATGTAAAAGTGGAACGTTTTATTGTTTTTGTTTAATCGTGTAGCGTTAAGCGTTATTTCCACGTACGCCTTAACCCGTTTATGGATTCAGTGTTATCTAGCACGTACGATGTTAGTATCTAAAATTAACAATGTGTCAGCGTATTAATAATCGTTACTGCGCACTTCATTTTCCGTAATGTTTATATTCCAGTTACAATAAACAATCATTAAACATTGTAACCGTTACTACATATATTTAAATGCGTATTAATTGCGCACATATCTCTGTGTCGATCTTTACTATTACATACAAATAACTACTGACTGATGACTACAAATCTATGTAACAAGGAACATTCACAAAGTCCTATTTCTTAGTTATCCATTTAATTCACATAACAATAGTAATTCTTTTTTACTAAATTGAACGATAAATTCAAACAAATGGCTATTGCCAAAAATTTCGCCAGACTAAATTCCATTGTCCAATAAACTAAACGACCAAACATTTGGACTAGATTTTTATATGTAATTAGATTAAGGTTAGGATATATCTCTTAATATAATTTTGTTTTATTTATTTATACATAACACGGACAATATTTTTAGAAGCATGTCTCCGATGACTAGATGGTGAAAGCCAAATCAAAATTGTGAAGGAGGTCATGCGTCACGATTAGAAAAGTAAAACACAAATTTAAATCTAAGTGATTAGACCTACACCTGTTATCTTTAAATATTATCGAGTATACGTCAGAATTCATTTCGCCTACTTGATAGTCTTTTAACTTAACAGAGAACAAAGAAATTTTTAAGTAACACATTAAACTAGATTCCAAAAAAATCTACGACAGTCTTGTATTTTGTAGTATGTTTGTTTCATCGTTTAAGTTAAAAAAAATCTAAAACTAAATGGTTTATATCGTGTTTAATAGGAACATGGATTGTTAAACTAACCTGCTAATATGGCTTTGTGCGCTTGGAACTCCCTGCCGCCGACTGCGAGCGTTACGTCAGAGAATCTCTCGTTGTCGAAGAGAGCGCCGAGGTCGTCGGAGAGCCGGCACTCGGGCACTTTGAACTGCACCACGTTGCTCTGACCGCTGATGTTGATACTGTCCGCCACCACTGACACCTCACAGAATATCGTCAGCTTATCCTCCGGCAGCAGACCATTCGCCTCATCCAGTAAGAAATCTCTGTAAACCACAGACAATAAATATAAATAAATTATCCATCACAATCGTAATAACCTCGTTTAGGCAGAGGTTACAGATATACAATTTGGCACAGCTCTTGTACATCTCGATTCTTGTATAATCATGCGTATACTGTAAATTTGCTTAGTCCAACTTTATTCATGTCTCGTTTTAAGATGCTCGAATCATTATGTGATATCGATAATGGCAGCTAATTATGTGACTGTAATGACTTTCGATAATGAAGTATCCTCGTTACAACCACTTAGGACGATGATAGACTTACCGACACTTGATATGAACAGTATGAGAGGTGTGCTGAAAGGTATTGGTTATGTTGTATATTGCGACCATTAAGAAGATATCTATAACACATATCATTTGAAGAGTAATTCCGCAGTGCGGTGTACGCTTATGGATAAATGCCGATGACATAATGTTATTGTGACATACGAGGAGTGCTGCTCATAGCACCATAGAAGGAACGCACATATTTCCGGCTTTATTTAACTGTGGATGCAATCGTTGGTATTGTTTAAGCGTATTGAATTATTCACGTGAATGAGCAAACAAAGTAAGTATAGTCTTATGTGACTTAAACAAGAACACATAAAATAACAACAAAATTCGAGTTTACAAGAAAAAGTTTCCTAATAAAATAACAACTTTTTGGTCTTGGTTCGTCAGCTTTTTTTAAACTTCAACCGCTGATTTCGAAATCAATAATCAAAATACTAACCTTCTAATAAACTTTTTGAAGCCCCAATCTTTGCCTTGCACAAATCTGTACGCGCGTTGTGACTCCATCGCCTTGGTTTCTTCTCGCTTCGCGTTTAGAATGGAGAACTTGAACTTTGCCCGCACTTCAGATTTGTTACACGACACTAACAATAAATATAATGATAAGTAGTCTTTGCTCTCTTCGTCGAGTCCTTTTGGATTTACACGAAGACACCATTTTAATTTGTCACTAGCACCGGCCGAGAAAGTCGATGATTTTAACACTTCACCCATTTCTTCCCTACAAAAACTAAAATTGTTTATCGTCCACATATAGCTAAACTTCACCACTTTCACCTGAAACAAAGAGATACGCGTGGTTAAATACATATTAATTAATCCAAAATTATTTTAAAAGAAATTGCGTTTATCAATTTTTAGTCGCAGCGCTAGAAATCCTCTAAAAAAAGAAAAGTATTAGAAAAATACCAGCTTTATTATCCGAAGACGTGGATTGTAGTTATATGCAAGTTTACATAGGGTTACAACTAAGATCATGTCGTGTGTAGCGTTTTTTTTATTAAAATTATCTCAGCAATATCACATAAAAACAGTACGATCCAACTTTTATTATTAGTAAGTATTAACAATCTGTGTTTCCAGCAAGGTTGGCAATCATAAGTAAAAGTACAGAATGAAAATTAAGGATAGCCTCGAAGCGGCCGGACGCAGGAAGCGCATAAATAATGCTGGAAGGCATAAGCTTATTTCGCAAAACAAAAGCTTTGCGAAACTCCATCAGATTTTAAACTTGTTTTATAAAACATTTATATTTAAACAGTATAGGAACATACACATCTAGCAAATTTTTCAATGTCTTCCATGGCAGAAACGCTAAGCACGCGTTAACGCAAAATTTATGGCTAATAAATTTTTTAATCATTCCATGATCCAAGGCCAGCTTTATTGTACAGATTTACGTATATCGACAGCGTAATAGCGAACGTATAAATGTTATGTGTATTACGTTGAAGCTACAAATAGAATTTCAAATAAGAGCCTTTAATATATAGCTATATAAAGATTCCTACTAAAACAGTAGGATGTACATGAGCTGCGCATTTCGTCAGACTTATAAGTGGTGTGTGGAAGTAGTGATGTGCACACAGTCGGGTATAAAAAGAGGCAATCGCATCGTAGGTAGCTGGGCGCTTGGTCCGTAGGGGTCATGAGGAGTAGTGGTAGCGTCCGCTGGTCGTTGCCCCCGACCGTTGCTTGGCTTGCCGGCTGCGGGCTTGCGGTGCTGCTGGGGTCTTCGCCCGGTCACCGACCCGCCGCAAGGCCGACCGCATCATCCCCGCACGTTTATGGGCGCACCTTACAGATAACGCTTGCAAATTCCAAACCTTCGTTCCAACTAGATGGTGTGACTAATATTTCCTTTTAAATATTTGAACCAATTTGTGCGCAGTATGCGCCAATTGAGACTGACTACTGAAATTGTCACAATTGAACGATCGTTTGTCCGTGTCTGAGTATTGAGTGATCTTTGTTTGATTCTCAGTCAAGGTTAATGTTTGTGCAAATACGTAAATATTTTTTTTAATTCCATACATTCTACTCACCACATTTTATGAAAGGGCAAGGCCTTACTAGGGTGGAAATATTGAAACATGTTTCTATAGGAATGTAACAAAGAATCCCTCCGACCATAGCGACCTAGCATATTTACTTTATATTTCTATCTTAACGTTTATATATTTTTATCTTAACGTATTGTGACTTACTTATGATATATCTTATTAACTTGACTACTGGTAAACATTGTGACTAGTATCTAAAAATGATCAAATATTTTTTTCTTTATATCATTATATCCAATGACAAGAGGGTTCGTATAAATAAATCATAGTGTGTGTAGACGTTTATGGAATGTAGCGATAAAAGTTCTATTGATGAATGTTAACGAGCGTGCTACTGGCGTCAGCAAGAAATCTGATGTTGACGTAAAATAGTGCAACGTGTATTGTATCCACAACAAAGACACGTGGAGTTGTGAGTTCTAAGATCACGTGTAATGATGGCATTCCATCAAACAACACCTACAAGGAATTGTTAGTTGACATTGCGCAATCACATTAGCACTTGTTCATTTCTAATCGAAGCGAGTCTCTCATTGCTCTGGTTATTTATTGTTTTTTTAATTAAAAGTAAATATTGTTTTCCAAATTAAAAAGATCGTTAGCTTACATATTCTTATATCAAACAAATGTGACTAACTGTAAATAACAGCATTTAGCTTTATAAGAAAGTAACCACATATCTGGTTAGTTTGGGAACGCTCCGTAGCTTTTACATGTCTACTTGTTAGTTAAAAGACAACCCTTCTTTGACGATTTGGTGTCTTTTCATTGCTGAATAATTGTAACGTAACATTCACTTTTTAAGAATTGCCAATGACACATTAAAATCTGAAACATGAGCCGAGGGACCGAGGCCTCAATAACCAAGCGCGACCGTGTCGACGCCTCCAACTCAAACTTTACCGTTAATTTTAGCGAACTAAATAGACTTTTTTAAGCAAAAAGTATACAAAAATGGTAATACCCGGTCGACGGCTAAGTCGTTCAACGGTCGTTCTGATTTTTCAAGCGTACATCAGGAAACAAATGTTGAACGGTTGAACGCAATAATACAATTCGGCCTCGACGAAACAACCGGTCGCACTGTATGTGAATTTCACCGTAGTGATTGCAAGTACGCGTATCGTTTCACCTCTACCTTTCAAAAATAAACGAAAGAATATACATACCTACTATTGTTTAATTTCTATTAATATTCATATTCCATCATTATCCTAAAAGTAGTCTATATCATGCATAAAATCTACTAATATTAAAATTGCAGACTAGGTACTTTTAATAATTAAACATTAAAACTGCATTTATTAACAAACGTGCTTATATGTCAGTGTGTGTTCTCGATCAATACTCTCATATCGACAGTTGGCAGTTTCATAATACATAAAACGGCGAGCAATGTCGCCTCGCAACGGCGTTGATCACGTCGCGTCACTGTTGCTTACCGCAAACACTGCGCCAGCGAGACTCACCTTCTAGCGTTTGAACATCACACACGTATTACGTACGTCAGCTACTTCCTCGTCGATTTTCATATTAGCACAATCAGCGAGGTTATTTCAAGTTCAACGATAACACCGTTGGCAAAGAAATATTCATTCCGCACCTCTCGAACGTACACGTCGCGATTCAAACGACTATCGATAAAATATTCACATGCTAATTTACTTTATTTTTAATTTTGTACAATATACTTCTTATATTTGTTTTTATAACACTTTATCTTCTGCGCTGCTCCTATTATTCCTCTAAATCAAGACATAAAAATTACAATGACATAGTGATGTGTACAAGATAAACGTATTTCTTACGATGTATTGGAGTTTAAGGGTCAAATAAACATAATATGTAAATAATGTCCATAGATGTTTGACAGAGACAATATTAATCACATTTTGAGTAGTAAAGTCGCGGCCGCAGCCAAAGGCGATAGAGGTCGTCGTGATCGATACTTACAAGATGAAAAATCGAGGTTTACGATCGCTCAAAGTTGATGAAGCTGTTTGGTTGTCAATGCAAAGCTTCGAGGTCAAGGATAATAGTTTTATTAAATTTCGTACGCTTTATATAGGAAATGCTCAGTACAATAAGCAAGGGAAGGTCATTATCAGGGTTTTATTAAAAAGATTTTAGTAACAAAGTCACAAATTATTTCCTTCTATCATCATAGGAAAGCACGTTATAAGCACTAAGTTATTACAAGGGTAGTCTTCCTTTCACGGAAGTCTTTTATGTTAAGTTATTTATCATGCTATATTAAGTTTCTTCACTTAATTTGTTTTATGTCATAAAATTTAATTAACCTTCCTGGATTATATCATACAAAAGGTCGAGCCAATGTCAAAACAAATTTGGTGAATGTTTTAAACCAATTCAAATCAATTGGCTGAGGTTGAATTTGTATTTCTGAAGAAATAATAAGAAATCATTTCTTGTAATTCACCAATTTGAATGTTAGTTTATTAAACCTTATAACAATAATACATCTGAGTCTTTTAGTTACAGATTTACCTTAATATGCATATATTACAGCAAGGTTAAAGCTGACGTGCATGCTAAAATGCACTAAGACAACTTTACAGGCTGAGCTTGTTCTTCAACAATTGCATTTTATGTACATTCTGTTTGAATATTTAACTATACATTTTGCTAAAGCACTCTTTGTGAGTGTTTTCTTCAAACAATTTACACTTATATTGATTCAACAAGTCTTGCTACTCCTACGAAGAGTTTCTGTAGTAAATAAACAACGGCTAGTATAATATTTCATGATCCATTCGTGTACAATGTTTGGTAGAGCGCTGATGTAAATCGTCACCGGTGTGGTGGTATCATATGGTTAGTGTTCATACCTGTGTAAAGCACCAGTTCTCAGCGACGGGCGTGTTGCCGTCGTGCAGCGGGCTGGGCACGCGGCTCACCGCCATGCCGCCGGCGCCGTTGGACGTGACGCGCGCCGACTGCGGAGCGGCCGCGCCCCCCGGGCCCGCGCCGCCGCACTCGCTGCCCGAGCCGAGCCTGCAACAAGCGCACACACAATGCTATTCATGCCTTTACACCATTCTATCAACCCTACAGTGTACATAAAAGGGTAATAATCACCTACAGTAAAAAGTGGCTCAGTTAAGACTTTCCAATTTGTATGCTCCCCGACCAACTCATCTGTACTTCTAACATGCCAATATTCTATATGATTTTCAAACATGACTTTGTTTCTGGACTCGGTACCCATTTCGTTACGAGCAGAGAAATAATCCGATTACACAACAATATGCAGTTACGTTATACCAGATCATCAGTGGTCTCGAACTTAGGGTTTCAGAGATAAAGCAAACATGTATCTTAGCTTAACTATGTTCCAACACTGTAATTAGTTTTCCTATATACAAGTACCGACGTTCCTACAAGTATAGACGACCTAGGATATATAATATTATACATAACAAATATTTTAGGTTAGTTAAAAGATAAGTCTATTAATCTCTTCTGTATGTTTTCGTAATCCTCTAAACATGGTACTAAAATTAGAGCGGAAAATAGAACGTGGAGGTCTATTAAAAGTTACAATCGACCCAATGGCCTAAAGGCGAAATCTTGTAACTTCACATGGAATTCAATGCAAGGCAAAATGTAACAATATCGCAACACGCCAATCGTCGATGGCAGTTTCGCATCCCAAAACTGGGACGAGAACACAATTTTCGTTCCAGTTACGCGCGCGCCCGTTCACGAACAATGACGATTCGTCGAGAGAAGAGATTTAACGTTATTTAAAGTGATCTTTTCTCGGTTTTGGGTTTCGGTGTCGTCGAATGTCGACAGACGGTGCGGCGAAGTGGGACGCGGTACGATACGCGAGATATTGCCGTCCTGCGAGCGAGACTTTCACGAACTTCGATTACCAAATACGCGTTAGAATCTGTGTCAGTTTCATCAGCGGCGCACTGCATCCGTTCGCGGCTCACGTGCGCCGCTTTGTTCGGGCGCACGCGGCGTCGACTGCGCGGCCCGCGTGTATAAGCACCCCTATAACTGCCCACAAAGGAAGCGAACCGACCCCGAAACGGGCTGATTCACTCCGCAATCGAGCTCTTAGTAGTGGTACCACCCACAATTAAAGTGACTCGCCAAGTCGAGGCACCTATGACATGTGAAATTTGGCTGGCTCACTATTTATTCAATTATATATATCAGTCTATGATTTTTCTTGTAACACAAGTTTTAAGGTAAACGGCACTGACAAATCTTGCATTCTTTCTTTTCATGTCATACAAAGTTCCTTTATTAACGTATGGTTACCTATCTTTTACACCCGATAGCACATTTTAAGAGATTCAGTGAATGATAACGTAATCAGCCTAGTTAACTATTGAAACAATATACTCATCGCGCTGCCCTTTAGGCCAAGGTTACCTTTTTGCAGGTGCGCTTAAAGTATGTCACAGATTTTTCAGCGCACGCTGAAGTTATAAACATTCTCTGAATTAAAAATTAATATTTAAAAAAAATAGTTTAATAGTAGTTAATTGTAACTAGTTGTAGTTGAAAATATCGCAATTAAGTTTTATAATGTGAATATGCAAATAATCCGTGGAAAATTTTACAAGTTAAATAGGTTATACAAAATACGTGACTTAATTAAGTTAATTGTGTAATGTTTATATTAACAAAGAGTAAATAAAATTGACCGTTTAATATTGTCAGCATAGTCGTTAAAAATGTAAGTATATATTACATCTTAATTGATAGTAACAAGGCAACGGGGCAGAGTAAAGGAGTTTTGGGATTTATGTTATGAAAAGGAAAACATTGAACGATAATCATGAATATTAATGCCAAGGGTTTTCGACGCTCGCAAGCGTCACATACCTACAAAAAATCGACCTATAAAATAGCACGAAAGGACTAACACTGCCATACAAATAAAACTGTTGAAAAAAAAAACAAAGATTACCTAATGGAATCTTTAACAGTTTCTCATTATGAACTAATTTAACATTAGTCGCTTAGTAACGAAAATGTTTTAATACTATAAAATTCCTGTATAAACAACAGTGTTAAATTACACATGTAATTATGAAATATAAAATACATGAGTATCGTGCCAAGCGTTGAAATATTGATTAAATATAGCCACGAAAAAAAATGAGAACGAATCCAGAAGGACGTTTGTCGAGGTTTTTCCCATTAAACATGGCCGTTCGTTACGGCGGCTAACCTCGATGCTATTTCACCGAATCACATAGTGCCGCGTAGGTCTCGATACGTGGTCAATTTTTCATAGCGAGTCGAGTACTGATAAGTTATCACCCGCGACGGTCCCACCGAGGTCGGTGAACGAATTCGCCACAGCGGCAAATGGAGCGACCCGAACGACCTACATTCGATCCGACTGAACCATAGTTCTATTACGAATTGTGACGAGCCATCGCAGCTGTCCTCTTTTTAAAATTCTTGACACACAAACATATTGGGTGTGTACTTGAACTACCTGCCCGCGGCCAAAGATTTTCATTCGATAAGCATTGATAAGTTTCTATATCTGACGATTTTTTTGTACTATCATTGGATATTGTAAAATGTTTTATGTATATTTTATTATCAGAACAAAAATAATTTATTAGGTTTATAAAAAGTTTTATAAACCTTTGAACTCAGTCCAACACCTAATGTCTAAAACCGAACAAACGCAAATACATATGTATGTATAAATTTATGTCCAGTAATTTCACAGACAATAATTTTTTCATATAGAATTATTCATGTATTAATAGTAATTCTCTCACATCTTCACATCCCGATTATCTTCAGATCAGAAATTGGTTACGTAAAATAATCTATTTGATATTGAATTAGAATTGACTTATACAACTAAAACACAATACGGAATATCTATTATTATATACAGAAACACAAGGCGTTCTTCCTCTTTAAACCACATGTAACCATGAATAGATACCTTCGTTTCGTGGAACAGAAACAACAAATGCTCATAAATAAATACGGAATAAAACTTATTCAAACAAGTTCATTTGTACAGCAATTCAGCCTTCCTTATTACTGGCTCAGTTAATCCTCGGCTAGTTATAATTATTAAACACCGATATCTTACAATTATGGTTAAATTACATGCTGCTTAAACTAAAAGTGAACAAACTAAAACTTTGAATTTAATTTAAATGCTTAAATCGTACACTATAAAATAAATTTGAATAATATAAAATGATACCTTCTTTGTAAATACGGACGAATCATTTTGAAAAGTCAATAACCCGTAAAAGCTTGAGCAATCTCGGCATAAGCACCTACCGCCGTTCTCTCTCGGTCTTATTATAGATGTCAACCGACGTGCTAGTATCTCTTCTATATTTAAGTCCTCGCGGCAACGATTCCCCACATCATTGAACCGCTAAAATAATTTTCGAAAGACAGTTTAGTATCAACCTAAATCGATGGGTGACAATTATTATGTTGTTAGCACGATTCCAATATAGATGTGCTGGTGGCATTATTTTTTGGCATTTTAGAGCAAGAATTTAAAGTTCCAAATGTTTTATTTTTTTAAATTTAATTTAAACATTTTTCCACAAGACAAAGTGACGCACCGACACTGACCGTATGCACTCAACTCGACTTTATTGAGTCGTGAAAATGTCACACATTTGACACTGAAAGTCAAAAGTTCTGCAACCCGACGACACAAAGAGACCAATGTAATATTTAATTTAATTATTCGTTATATTGTATCAGTACGCCATAACAGGCGAAACAATATTGGCAGTAGCGTTTGCGATCAATAATGGAAGAACAATGGCGTTAGAATTAGGACGTAGGTAAAACAATGCGTTAAATGTGAAGTACCTACATATATTATAAAGGAGCGGTTTAGTGATGCGTCGAACGCTTCAAGGGGGTTGAGCGAGTGGAGTGAGCAATGCCCGCTTAACGACAATTGCATGAGTCAGACGCCCCGAGGACGACCCGTCAGTAGGGTCCTCGACTGCAGCCTGAAGGACGGATTATTTGCCGCAAACCAGTCGCACTGCGATATCGGACGTTGGGCACAATACTGAATAAACAACGCCACTTATTTATTGTAATTCGCTTCAAAAATATCTTTGAATTTACATTTACAACAAATCACTTTTATGTATTATATAGTGTTAACGAGTGCAATGCACTAATAAAATTTGAATGACAATAACAGATTTAAATAAAAAATATCGCTTATAGTTATTTGTGTAAAAATAACTTTTAACTTTTAACCATAGACAATAGGTATGCAATGCTTTGTCTTGCATGGATAACAATTTCCAAATATTTTATAGACCATACACTTGCCTTTCATTAATTAGGATTAATATTAAAATTGTAAACACAAATTGTATCTTTGATTCAAAGATGGGTAAGTTTGATAATGGTCCCCACTTAGGATAATACGAGGTCGACGTGCATCGCGTCTCGAAATACATCAAACAAAGGTGAGGTTGGCTATTAAGCCCTATTGTTCAAAGCCTTGGAGCAGGTAAAAACAAGAAGCGGGCTGAGGACAACACAACTGAGGCATTAAGTTAGCATTATAACAACACACTGGGTGTGTGCCAAACGCATAAGCCTACACAACACTTCACATAGATTTATGCTAGTGATTTTTTTGTTATATTTTAAACGATTAATTTTTTAATTCAAATTTCGTACATGTACTAAACACATGTTAATTAAGCCGTGATCTTTAATTAGTGTAGATTTATTGCTATGCTAAATAAAGGTTATATATACCAAAGAAGCACTGTTCAAGTTGTTTATATTGTTGTATCGTATCATAGATTATATACGGATATAAGATCTAGTAGCAAGTATATAAGTAGGAGGTGTACATAACTTGTTTACGTCATTTATAAACCTACTAATAGTACTCGTGGTAATTAATACAAATTGCAGCTATAACCTACAAATAAATAGTCATAGGTACACAAGCAATAGATACAACGCAAGCAGCGAAATGCTTATAATTCCATACATATTTGTACATAAAACATACATGAATTAAATACAATGTTAAAAATCTTTGATGCCTATGTATTGGATGTGGTCGTGAAAATGATTCTGGGGTTTTTTGAAACACATATTTGTTTCCTTTTTGGATGTTTTTAGTTTCATGACACATGACGTAGGATCATACCTTTATAATCGGGTGCGTGGGTCACTCTGAGTAAATAACGTTTCTTTTTAATAATTATTATTTGCATTTAGAATGTGGAATATAAAAGAACCTTCTTCATACGAACTGATTATGGTTTAAATAATATGTAAAATTGGTTATTCGAATAATTTTTGTTTCAGTCATACTTAACCGTGTTATTTTTATATCTAATAAAAATATAAAAAAAGAAGCTGTCTGCGGATAAGATAATGGATTACATAAAGTGTATATTATTTCGAAGAATACAAGAAATAGTATTAACATTGGGTATAACGATTTGAAATATATCAAAGCTATGGAGATATTTCCGACCATGAATTGTCAAAAATAGAAGACAGACATTAATATTTTCGGCTAAGGGCAACTTCAGACGTTCTGCTCGACGATTTTGCGAAGATATTATCATTCTTATGAAAAACTCCTAAAGCTCCAAGGTTTTTATTTTATTTTATAAAATAAATGTTCAAGCTCATACCAGATATAAAATTTAAAAAAAAAATACATCTGATTGATATTAAATGAAAATATTTAATCTTGCGTTCACAATGTGCCTAGTACTAGAAAATAATTCTGCCTCTCCTACAAATAATCCGTATGAATCGGCATTATTGAATGTATGAGTATGGGGGGAGCGCACACATTAGTACAATTTGTAGGTGTGACGTGCGGAATAATAAAACATACTGTACATCCAAGGCTGCGTCGGCCGTCACAGTCTCGCAGACCGTCGTAATTTGTAACAATAGGTACTCAATGTCAAAGCAGTTTTACCGCACATGCGGAAAACTGTAACGCAAGAATTACACATTTCAGAGGAAAGGACATAAACGAGTCAAGATTTACAGCTCCTCGTATATAAGGCAAAAATACACGAAACGCTTCGAACGTAGTCGTAGACTGAAGAAATCAATACCGCTCCCACCCGCTGCATTAAAGGAATTACATTGGCGAATAACAAAAATTTTCACGCGCATTCTGTGACCTTTGAAGCAAAATTAGTGCTCGACATTGTTAACATTATGTTTATAATAATTTTTATCAGTCATCTTAAACGTGCATTAAATTTATTATTAAACAGTCATGATGAGGCAAAAATAATTGTTTAAATTATAAAATATAAATAATGATTCTGCGCGTTGTTGCGGTACAAGAGCGAAGCAACGCGGAACTGAATGCGAATGGCACCTCTATTCGTCCGAGATGCGCAGGGACGCGCAAGGTGACCGCTCGCGTCACCCACCGCGATTGTTTGCTCACATTCGCGACAATTGCGCGATTGACAATTATACTATTAATAAAATTATTCAAAGAGGATAAAGTTGAATTCCGATAAACAACATGGAACACAGTCAGACCAGAATAAGAAACAAACTTTATAAATTGAACCTCAAACCTCCCACGAGTTTGTTCTGATATTGTTAACCTTTTGTAGTAATAAAATTGAACAAAGGTTTCCAAAAAGATGAACTATTGGTTTTCACAATCTAAAACATTAAAATTAAATTTATCTACCAAGCTTGTTATTCAGTTTCCTTATCAGCAAAACCATTTCCGCAATTAGTGTCATGCGGTAGAAACCGTTTTGTATCAAGGAAATTTTACAAATGTTACATCACAATGTCATTTTTATCACGGAATGTAGTGACCATATTTTACATTTTTAATTGTTACATTAATTTCGATAGTTTTTTTTTTTGAATTTGAAAACTTGATAGAAAAAAATATTAAAATGCTCAAATTACACAGTAAAGGAAATACGACGTCTATTTTTCAAGTCTCATATCGATCCCAAAGAGAATATTTGGTAAAAGGCAAATCTTCAATGTTAATCAACGCTTTTGTAGACAGAATAATGGCGAACAACTCGCATTATCACCAGGAAATGATTGCATAAGTTCTGATTGGCAGATACCGAGATAACTGGTTATCGCCTCATGTTCTGATAACATTTGTAATGGTACTCTGTTCCTCATCATGCTGTACTTGATCGGATTAAATTTATGTGTAATTCTTTCGAGTAGTACAGAGTTACAAAGTTTTAGAAATTTCCCAAACTTTCGGATACTTGTAATTATAGCAAGACGTGTTTAATATTATGAAATTACATTAGAAAGTAAAAGTAGAAGTAGCCAAAAGCTTTTGAATTTATCGTGTCCATACAGTATCTACCAAACTAGCGATATAAAATATCCAAAAAATTCGCTGAATTAAGCTATTATCTAAAATTACAAACAAACAACAGTACTTAATGGTTAATATTAAAACTGATATTCTACTCAAAACATTTATATAACAAGAATAAATTTGTAAAAACATATGCATATTATCCTCGGATTTAATATTGACAGTGCTGGCAACACTAACAATCTATGAAGCTGGCCTCGTGAGGAATCGGCCGGCGGATAGCAAGACAGAATGGTTAGGCGTCTGTTACGTCATGACCTTCGTGAGCCGTTGGAGTGACGTCGGCACGCCTACTATAGCCACGTGTTCTATTAATTAACACTTGTTCTACAAGCATCAAATTCGCAAATTCATGCACATCCAATTACATCAATATTTTAACTTAATTATTGTTTTATAAGAATTAAACCTAATAAATAATTCAAATTACGTACTTTAGCCAAGGCGAGCGCGCGCTCTGCTGATTATACCTAGAAAGGAAATACGTTAATATAATAGTGATAAATCAATAAACGAATATGTGAAGTCGGCAGGAAGGTCTAGGATCAAGGCTTGTGGCAAAAAGATTATCATGGGCACTGCCGAACGAGGATAAACCGAGGCGGAAGCGAACTGAGCGAGGCCGAGGACACGCGGCAATTCACAAACTGAACGCACCGCCGCCCGCAGCCCGTCGCCCGCCTCCCGCGCCTCGGACGCTTTTGACCAGCTCCCATGTGCCTAATTGTTCTTACAAAGTAAAGCACTTAGCACGCCTTTCACCCAGAGATATAGACAGAGATTACGGATTTTCAAATCGCATGCACACTACTCTTTCGTTTCTTTCACATCCTTATATCGTCATATCCAGGTTTCATTAAGCTCACTAAATTTTTAATATGATATAAATGTTTGGGTTTAGATACAGTTAAGAAATAACCGTTCTACACACAGGTATGTCATACATTTCGAACATTGATTTCAATGGTGTCTTCATTTGCTGCTTAATCAATATTTTCAAATCATAGCAAAATCCAATACATAAATATAAAACGATTTCGTATATCAGAATTAAAACGCGAAACGACCATCAAATCAAACTCTGTCCTGTGCCAACGCGATAGATGCACTAGTTGTCAACGAGATTTTGAAATTGTTACGTTCACACTTAACATGTTTTAAATACAAAGAGCTACAGTTTGCGATTGTATTATGCAACATTCCGGTGTCACGTGAGGTGCGGTCGCAACTCGCAAGCGGCCGCGCCGCCGACCTGTGTACGTACGCATACGTTGAATCCGCAACTCGGGCCACGCAACGAACCGACAACATTTGGCAATGTGGCCAATGGAAAGCACCACGTCGATAGCTGTCTAACGCCGCATAGACATTAATCTAACTGGGACACATTGATTTATAGCAGAAACAAGAAACTGTGCCACCTCGGCCCTACTGCAGCGCGCTCCACATTGTTATACCATGAATATTCAAACGGAACATCGGGACTAATACGATATTTAATTGTTGGTGAACTAATTGTAAACAATTTTAAACAATTTATCATAATTCAGTATCAGAAACAGTCAATAAAAAGGTTCCAGACCGGCATCAATGTTTATTGACTAGTCAGCGCGATGAAGCTCCGCAATCGGCCGCGGCCCTGACTTAAGCCTAATATAAATGGTGTGAGCTAACTTCCTGTAAAATTTTCGAGATACGTCATAATCAGCTTCGTTTAATTGTATCTGTAAATCCGATGGTCACAGTGCCGCCTATAAGTGTTTTATTATGTAAAGTAAAACTTCCTTATGGCATTTAACATGATTTAATATGTTTGATCGAATTTGATTATTACATTTACGAAATCAATATTTATGTTTTAATCGTATGTTATGTCCTGTCAAAAGAGAAGGTTTAAATATGTGATCTTTTCACTGTCCGGTTACAATTTTATGTAATTTAATAAAATAATTATTGAGATTTTAATAAAGCTTTAGAAGTCTGGGTAGTTCAAACTTCTTCTTTATTTAAAATATATTACAAAGAACATGGGCATACATATGACATGAATAACATTATGCGCTAGACACAAGTTAATAAAAAAGTTGTACAGCCAAATAATGAAGTAAAGGCCAAAAGCCTTACACAAATCGGACATTGCACAATAACCGCGTTTGTTTCGAGAGTAACTGACTTATTAAAATATTTACCAGCTCTGACACATCTTTGATGTACACAAGTGTAAACGTATGTGGGTGAGCGCCGCCGCGTACAGTCAGCTCCGGTCGCGGTATTCCACTTATGGAAAAATTCCCTCTTGCTTACAAATAACCAATAAAATAGCAGGGAGTTGCGAAAACGACAGAATAAAAGTAAAAGCAATTAGCCGTGCACCACAGTCAGACATTTTTTTTGTTTACACACATTTGAAAGCTGCGTCTTATGAGAATTGTTTCCGAGTCGTCGCTTTAATGCGTCAATATATTCAAACGATTGTCGCTTTTAAGGTGGAATACCGTCAATTTCCCGAACAGTACTTTGCACGACAATCTATGATTTATTTTAACTGTTGCGCGAAATTTAAATGTAAAATCATTGAAAATAAATCGAAGGACCAAAAAAACGTTGTTTTTATTCTTTTTTAAAGACAAATGAGCAAGTGGCTACTATTGTCAATATTTTTATTACATTTCACATTAGGTAATGGTTTTAGAACACTTGATAATGAAATTAGACAAGAAATGTTAAAATGCATGCAATTATGATACAAACAAAAAAACTAACATATGCATTAAGCTAATCCGTCATCCGTGCGTAAAAGGCGCTTTAGCTATTTTTTATTACTAAAAGTTATGTTTCTGTGCTGTGTGGCAAGCCGAGCAACCTGAGTTGTGCGGCGTTGGCATGGAGAACGCGACCCGGTTCGCGATCGAGAAAGCATCTACAAAACTCGGTTGAGGCCGCGCACACACTAAAGAGGACGTGTCTTCGTATACAATTAACGTGTAATATAAAACCTCCTGCAATTCCTTTGTCAAATAAACGGACGAGACCGCAGTTGACTCACCTTCAATAGCACATTTCCTGCTTCAAATCAAATACGCGGCAGGTTGCTGGCAAAATTGACGATTTTTATTAATAGTTTTTGAAAGTACAGGATTGATATTTAATTATTTATGGAAAAAATATTTATGAGTTATATTATAAAACTTTTACATATTTAAGCACGTAATACGTGTTTGCCTTATTGCCAAATATTTAGTTTGTGCTAAATATTAACGAATTTGTTCAGCTCCGTCCTAGGCCTTGAATTCGGCGCCCCCGTTCTACTTTTCTACGTCTTAACAATGCGTTAATCACCATATGCTGAGACCCGAACGCTTGGATTTCAAGCGAATACTCGCTCATTATGTAAAAACATACCTAGTCCAAAAATACGACTTTATAATTTAAAAGAGAATTATGTTAGCAAGAGAAATTACTATGTTTCTACGTACAATTATTGTCAAGTAGATGTGAAAGGAAAACGGGGTCAAATTTGACATCGCAATGCATTTGACCTACATAGAGAATGAATTACGTTTTAAAAGAATAAAGTCAAATTAGATTTTTAATTATAGGATAATTAATAACTGTCGACATTTTGAAGGGATGAAAGAAAGAATTTATCGCATTAGTATCTATAAAACTATAATGAGAGATTGTGACATTTGAAACGATTTGGTCATTGGTTTAAAGCATTCGATCGTACTAGGACCTTAACAAATAAATCTATTTAAAAAGTATTATTCTTTAGGCCGTAGCAATCTCTAGCTCTAGATAATTCATAAAAACCGACTCGTGCGCTTGTATTCTTTCGTTTAAGTATTGCGGCCAGTGGCGGCTGTTTCGGGTCATGCGGCAGAGTAAGGGGCACAAGGTAAAAGATGGTGCATTGAATAACGGCCTTAAGCCCAATAGCGATCTGCGACCGTGTCGCTTCCTACTGGCGTGGCGCGGAGGCGACAATGCCGGCAGCTGCTCGACCCGAAGGTGACAGAATGCCTAAGGTTGAGTACCACTCGATCGATTATCGCAAGCTGGGACAACAATGTATAGAAAACTAAGCTCACACTTTGTAATAAATAATAATTAACTTAAATTAGACTACATTATTTGTAATACATAAATAAACCCTTGAAAGTGACTTAAAATGCGAATGTATCGACCTCTAACTGTAGACAACTTTTCTGACGCGGTGCGAGCCGCCATTCTAATAGTTTAAGCCTAAAATATGTGTAGACTGGCGCAAGCAAACGACTCGGTTGCGGAAAGTCCTTAAGTCTAGCTAATATAGTGAAGGAAAGGTTTGGATATTATTGGCCGAGAACACGTAATTTATTGTGTCGACATGAGGAAACATTGCATCTCTCATTGCAGCAGACCAGGCCACCGATAGCACGATATCTGGTGACCCCAAATCATTAAATGAGACCGTGGAAGGTGAAATACAAATACTCGAGTTTTATGGGTCAACTGTCGTCGGGGGAGATGGAGAGCGGGCGACGCGAGGGGAGCGGTGTGCGGGGGCGCGAGGGAAGGGTGTAGGTTCCGCGGGGAAGACCCTGACACAGATCCTACCTTATCAGTGAAGGGCTATGAGAGCCTTGAGATTCGGCTGTGCGTTGTCATCGATTCCTTGGCGCACCGCGCTGTATAACGCACAAAATGGGTCAACCCGTAAGTCTTCTGTAAGCAGCGTAATGTGCGTTGTCCCGGTTTCAAGACGTTTCCTCGGCAAATTAAGTCTGCGCGCGACCATATTCAAAGTAGGCCATTCCTTTATCCCCGATTACTGCATATAGCGTCATGTTTCTAATTTCCTTTCTAGGACATCACCTTGTTAAGAATCGTATGAACACATCACACCGTGTAAGCATTTAATTGGCTTTCATAATTCATAATCCAGTTTATAGCTCATCTATTAAAGAACAATGGTTCATCAGAATTTAGCGTGTGTAATGTATACATATAAATTGAGAGAACGTACGTGACCCGGTCTCGTCAGTTGCACGGGGCCACTTTCAGCTTAGCGACGGCTCCGGTGAGCGTTGCAGTCGAGTTGCGACACTCCTTACCTCCACCGTGTTGACGATAGCTCGTAATGGACTCTTATTTTACAACTCGGCTAATATTTACTGTCGTATATTCATCGCACTTTTTCCTTCAGCGCTATACCCCAGTCTTTGTATTTTTTAACATTATAACATTAAATAAATACAATAAATAATCTAATGGTTAATTTACTCGAGCGACGTAACATTTTACAACGCAAGCCTTGGCCTTTATAGCCGACATCTTAGTGCTATATGCAATTGACAAATATCTCAATATTCATAAATACAAATTGCTTCCTCTTTTATTAACAGAAGACTAATATTAATAATAAAATAATTTGCATTAAGGTTTAGAGAATTTTACTATATTTACATAAAATAAAAAAAAACTGTACCACCAACTTGGAATTAAAACGACTTCCGACGAGTGCAAGGAAAACAAACCTTATATTTTATAATAAAATACTTAACACTCAGAAGTTCAATAAGTATTTCAAGCATGTTTTTGCAAGTTGATAAGTTTGAAGGAACAAAACAACATAGGACTTTTATTTTACCGAAGAAGCTTTGATTTTTCTAAAAAAAGGTAAAGCTCTGTGTTTATATAGGCCAATCAAATGGAATTGAAAAATGACATTTACACATTTCGCCTGCTGACAATGGAATTTGTTGTCTTACTGCTTACTAATATTATAAATGTGAATGTTTGGATGGATGGATGTTTGTTTGTTTGATGGTATCTTAAAAACGGTTTATGGATCTAGCTGAAATTTGGTATAGATGTAGAACATAGTCTGAAAGAAAAAATAGGCTACTAATTAGGTTTTTTTAATGACGCGCGAACGGAGTCGCGGTAGACAGCTAGTTTTTTAATAAGTGTGTGATTCCAGGGTTATAAAGGTTATTTTTTTTTACAGTTTCTCATTTTCATTGAATACAATTATGTTTATTAATTATCAAATGGCATGTTTAGCAATGGCATACATTGGCCACAAAGTTCATAATTTTTGTAACATGTTAATAGGCAATCAAATCCCAAATAATTAACGTGCTGACAAGCTACCAGCTATTGAACTATCGCAGCTTTTATATTAACATTTTTATGTTTTCCTTAGATAAGAGTCACGTGTCTATATCGTGTGTTCTTTTAATATCTGCAAATGGCAAAGTATCGATAAGTTTGTTCAAAAATTTACAATGCGAAACCGAAATGGCCTTGGACTTGTAAAACACAAAAGCGATAAAAATATCTTTCAAAATACTTCATTACTGCGGGATTAAAAAATGCAATGAATTACTAAATTATTATTAAAAAGTAACTTTCTTTTATTTACAGACAATACATAGGAACTTGTACATATTGCCTTAATTTTTTACCAAATTAAATACTTTACAGTTTCTAATTACCAATCATAATAGGTAAAAATGCGATGTTTTAACGATATAAATGGTAAGTTAAATCTATCGAGTTAAATCAAAAAGGTGATAAGTGGTAGTTCTATGAGTAATAGTTATAGTAACCGAAATACGCGGCGTCAGCAGCGGTAACCCAGTTTAGTTATCGCATTCCGCTGTCAACGAAACAGGAGCGCGCCGAGTGGGCCCGGCCGAGATCACTCCGCTAAATTGATACTCTCTTGCGAAATAACCTCGCCCAACTTATTCAAACACAATCAAATTTAATGGAGACCGGCCACGGTTGCGTACTCGTGCTTGCTAACTTTGCAGTACACGAGTCGTGGATATCGATTAGAACATAGGCAACAAGAAACATACAAATACACTAATGTCTTAAATTTCTCGGACAAAATGGAATATGGTAACCGTTTACCTTTATAGTATCAAAACAATCTTTATGTATGTATCGTATCTTCATGCGGTTGTATATCTTTATCCTTACATGTATTGAGATTAAAATTTAGTACCATTAACATTGCGGATTTTTTTGAAATGATACTCTAATCGTTTTATTAAACAATGATTTAGACAATGGAGTAATTTTATGTTAAAACGTTAAGTACCCACATTTAGATTTAGAAGCTTTGTGGTTACAAACAGACATTTTTTTGTGCACAAGTGACTTTGTGAAGCCCTGTATTCAAGGGATCGTATATACATAATGTATCCTGCCGTCGTATAAATCAAGTAGGGTGGACCGAGTCGAGTCGAAGGAGCACCCGGTGACTTTCGTGCAACCTCCGTGACGAGGGGACATTGACCTCTGAGAAGCGCATCCCTGCGAAACCTTAATATTATTCCATAACTATAATACACCGTGCGTAGGTGCCTATACTGAATATCTGTGTTGCTTTGAATGACATATTCTATACAATATTTATTGTAATTTTCTGGATAATATGTCTTATATTTTTATATCATAAACCCTGCGTTCAAAACCACTTTATAAAGTGCACTGCATGTGAACATTCGCTTTGGTACCGAACAAAAATTAAATTTTTAGATTTTTGAAGATTGTTGTTGCACATACAAATAATATTAATGTTAAAACCATTACCAATTCGCTGAATTACAAAAGTATATAACGATGTATGGACAACTAAAGTAAGCCGTAATGCTTATAACAATGTTGTAGAATAGTTGATGACGCGGGTATTACAAAGTAGTACAATGGCACTCATTGTTTATTAAATAAACGATAGTTTGTTTGTGATAAATATTACTAGAGTTCTTCGAATATTACTAATGTGATACAACAAAGGACGAACATTTTAAATTTAGAATCCCAATAAAAAGGAAAGAAAAAATTGGAAACTAAGAAGCGAGCGCTTTCCGGCATCGGTATTTTGCTACCTGCACCTACCCACAATCAGGCGAGCGAGCGGGCGAGTCCTTGTTCAAATATAATACAACAATCTAACTTGTATCACAAAACATTTCCATGGTGTGTCCATGAAACAGAAACTCGTCGATTTGCAACATTTTGAAATGTTTCCGAAAAAGGCCATTTAAGTATCGTTTTAAAACGTCCGGATAAACAAAATGCAATAACTTACAGTCGTTACACGTTAAATAGCGATATGAATAACATATTAATATAGTAAACTTGTTTTACACATAACGTTTAGACGTTCACAGAAAATCTATAAAATCAAGCGAACATGGCAAAGGCAACATTTGGGGTTCGCTTTTTAGGGTAACAGTAACAGACGAGGGTGCGTAGAAATAAAGAGGAAACAACGGCATCCCATTAGGCCAACGTATTCGAGAGCGTTGCGGGAAACGGGCCCGATGTCCGTTAAACAATGTTAATTTAGATCTACATACCGAGGTGATCGGTTTATGGTGAAACAAACTAATGACTGTAAATGTGACTCGATTTCTAAGTCGCTCCCTCTACTTGTCGCTCGACGTTCAGCTTACACAACAAAGAAAGTTATATACGCATGCGGGGCACATTAACTTTCGCCGTTTGTAGCATTGCTGTCTAATTGATACTAACACAGCATTATCGGAAAGACTACTCTACTTTACAAAGGTGAACGTATCGAGGCTAACACGGACAAACGAAGATCGCAATATCTTTCGACATCTATTCACAATCAATTGCATACCTGTTTTATTTTAACAAAATCAAATAACGACTTAACGACGCTAAGTCCTTCGATGAACATAGCAAAATAAACTAGTTCCGCGTTGACTCCAACAACCAAAATAGCTCACCTAGCTAAGGCCATTATGTGTCTGTATAATCCAATTTTCGAAATCAGTGGCACCACTTCGTTAACACAAATCACCACGCGTTTATTGTGAAGCGGTAAGAGTTCACAGTTTACGGAATGGGATCACGTTTGACAGTTTCACTTCACCGCATGGTTGGTTGTTCGCGCGAGGTGGCGTGACAGACGTCCGATCCACTCGACGTGTGACGGGCGACTGACTGATCGCGTTCGGGAGGCGCGGCGGCGGCGCGGCGGTGCCGGGGGCAGGCGAGGGCGGAGCGCCCGACCGCTCGCACAGCGCCCGCAGGACAGCTGCGTCGACCCTTTCTCTACACCATCTCCATTGTACCGGTGAAAGCTTAAGCCCGCTTGCATGCTGTTCATAATGCTCAGCTTAGCGGCAAACCATATTAGTACTTTTACTGCGTCTTTTTAAAACTACTATCGAAAGCTGCTCTCTCCTAATTCACTTCACAAAACATCCTCAATTATTAATATACAAAAAAAAATTAAAGGTCACAAAGATGAACACATTTTCGTACCTATTGAATTTATTCCGTATAAAATATCAGAACATGTAACAATTCCGTTAAAAATGAGTAACAGATTGTTTATAACATAATATTAATATTATGCCCATCTCCAGGTGGATTTGGTCCGAAAACGTTAACGACCTTACATTCATGCGGCTATATAGCCAAACTGAAAAACATATCGGTCTAGAACTTGCGGGTATTATAATATTAAGTACACGTTGAAAGTGATATAATTCGATAACTTCTATGGTTGGAATATCCTACGTAATAATTGTGTTAAAAACTTCAAATAACCACTTGTTCTATTGAACACTTAAAAACTTATTTTCTTTCTATTATTTGTTCATGGAGTTAATTAAATCAAGAGGAGAAAAGTCGATGACCAAACATTATCTAAGTCCTAAGTCGGAATCCAAGTGGCATTCTATGAGATAACTAGCAGAAAGAATAAATTACAAGTTGCAACTGCAATTACAAAGATGTCAATGTTATAGATCAATTGATTTAATTATATTTTTTTCTTAAAGATTTGGCAATAGATGCGCTACCGCAGATACGCTAGCGTGCACTTTCCACGATTAACTTTCTCATTTACTATCGAATTGACCTTTCCTTTTTAAAACATTCACATGTAGTACGTGGCTAATTGACACTTAAAAATCTCCATATGAAGAAATTTGAATAATAGTTAAATTTTAATATTTAAAAAAATATGGCAAAGTACACTGAGCAAAATCTATCAGTGTCAACACAAGCTATCATGAAAACAAAGATATTTTATGTAGGAAAAGTCTTAATGAATGATAAAATTTACAAATAAGGTGGTATAACGGCCAATGTTAATTTTTTAATACATTAATAATAATCGACTAAACAAAAAGTATCGATAATGTCTCGTGGGTCGTAAGAGCGTAACGCTGCAGTGAAAGTGCATCGCGTCGCCATTGTGATCGCGCAGCATTCGGAGCATTTTCAGTGGCGCGGAGAGAGCATGAAGCGGCCAAGAAAGCGCCAAAAAGCGGGAGAAGGCGAAGTAAAAATTTGAAAGCCGCCACACAATGGCGCGTTGTCGAAATTGGAAAGTCGAGTGGTGCGCGTCGATTGCATAAGCGCTCTTACGGCGCCGTGACGCTGACGAAAGGCTCGAGTGACGTCACCGGCACGAAAGTGCATCGGCCGCCCCCCCCGGGCAGCAGCGTGCAGCGCACGTGCACCGCTGCGCTTCCTGTATGGGACTTTCTATTGGGAAACTGCAGCACCGGCCCTCTCTCCCGCCCGTTGGGAAACTTGACTCTCACGGGCCGATCGACTCCGAGCGAGATGCATCTGATTGAGCAACGACGCAGACCACTTTGCCGCGCGCTTACACAATCGAGAAACGGGTCGTTTGTTTCAGTTATAGAATCATCCATTAATCAGTTATGTATCTTAGTTTGCACGTGATATAGCATAGATTAATTTTCTGTAAAAACAGATATTAAACAAAATATGACTATGGGTCTTCATTGCTGAAATATCTGAACGAAAATGTAATGCGTCTGTCTTTCAAATAGAATGAGAGAGAAAAATGTTTTACATCAATGTTTCGGCAGTGGAAACTGAAAACAAAGCTTTTACTTACACTTTTGTGGCGCGACGTGCGCGAAATACCTGTAACAAATAATTGAATTAATATTTGAAGCGCAAACTTTGTACCTCTTTTAAAGGAAATTGCGTGAAGGAATGAACATGAAATTTGAAGTTTTCGCCATTAAAGTAGTGGAAAAGACGTCCCTTCTTGCCGGCTACTTTAATTGTGGAAAATGTAACTATTTGCAAAAAAAAAAGAAAAATCTATGAATATGAATTATTATGGAAAAATAGAAAACCTTGTAAAGAATATTCCTTATACAACATTTTTGGATTTAATTTGATACACGCATTTTGAATATCAAATTTCCAACAAATCAATAAAAATGGATAGATATTACAATACATTTGAAAAATATATTCAAATATCACGGGTTTGTGTTAACTTCGAATATTTATGATGATTTTCGTAAGTCGTGGGATTTATTGTAATAACCGCCTTATAACAATGGTATTACTGTACAAATGTCATGCTGATTGACCAATAAGTAAGAGTTTAAAAAATTGAGGTCTCCACTATGCGGGACGCTCCTCGAAGGAGTTCATGGTTGAATGGAACATGTACAGTATTAAACTCTTGCTAAACATCTTAATATAGATTTTTATACGCAGCATTAAGGTTTATTTTCCAATGTCGAGTTAAAGTAGTTCCTAATTGTCAGATTGAGAACGACTGACGATCATTTAATCAATTTCATCTCTAACTTGATATAAATAAGGTTGGTTATAGTTTGCATTGTGTCGACATTCAAGAAGTAGGTTGACATAACTCACACCTAGATACACTTGTATATTACGAAGATTCATTAACTATTCGGCTTGAGATTTTGTGCAATCAATATTTAACCTTATAAAATGTAATAAGAAACTGTGGTATTAATAAACAGTTGATCTTTAGCCTATTTATCCGTAAAAACAAGCGATTTAGAAGTAAATTTCAAAAGACAGCTTTTTAAAGGGGGGTAATTAAAATCTCTGTATAAAACATATAGTGTCATCGCTGAGGTGTTGGACTCAATGGTGAGAGTTTTTATTTCGCGGTTTCCGAACATATGTCAATCCCGAGTTTTTTTTTAACCTAACGGGTAAATGCTCTCATGGCGGTGGCGTTTCTCTGGAGTGTTCGTGCTTTAAAAATCTTAAAAATAAAAGTAAAATTATTTTCATTGTTAATGCAACTGCCAACAAGAGTTTCACGCATTATCGAATGGTTAAAACGACTTCAGCAACCGGCCGTAAGCGGTCTTATATTTTAACTTGCAATTATGCATTCAATTTCTACGGGTTACAGTAGTTTCGTGAAAGTTGCAAGTAAATTAAAACAAGGTTCAAACCCAACATTCGAATGCTAGTTTCCTAGGTAATAAATAGAGTCAGAAAAGCGAGTGGTTCGTGCACTTTCTAGCGGATCGGTGGGCACTAGTTACGATATCTCGGATGATATAATAACAGTTAGCGCGGCGCCAGCGCCTACGCAGCCCAACCGCTACACTGAAACCAAGGTGTTGTGCCCACATTTATTTGAATACATTAAAGAGTATGTTTATATTGTACATGTTTTACAATTTTAAATTATCTAATTTGCTGTGTAAGCTAATTTGTTCGCAATTCATTAGTTAGTACAAAAACCTGATAAAATAAATCAGAAATCATATTCCCTTGAATTTATTGGATACATCCAAGGGCAACATCAAACTATAGGTATATAGTCTCCTTATTGCTAATAGTCGTAATATAAATGTACAATGTAGCTTGTTTGTGGACGGCTATAATTTTTTTATTACTATAACCGTTAGTAAATTTATACATATAATATTGTAAAAAAAATTACGATTAAAACGTCTAAATTAGTTTAGATGCAAATTCTTTTGCATCAACCTATTAATTAAATTAATAAAAAAATGATGTGTTAATATGCTAATAAAATTATAATGTTTATTGAGGAATATGAAATTGATAGGAAACCGTTTCATCAGAGATGCATCGGCGATTTGCAATTAGGTTGCAAAAGAAATTAGTTGTTGATTATGAAGATAGAGATTGTTGATTGCTCTTGGATCTCTAATAAAGTACCCGATGTTAAATCGCAAGAGATCTCGCCGAGAAATACGTTCACCGTCCTAGATGCGCGGTACTTTCGTTTTGAAATCGGCTCGCACAATTGGCCGTATCGAGACAGAGGCGGCGAGCGGCCGAATGGTGGCGGAACGCATTCCAGCGTTTCTAATGTAACCATTTTTTAAACGATAATGTGAAACTGAACGTTTTAAAATGATTTTTTTAATGTATGATTATTTATTAATATGAAAAATATTCAGACATTTTCTTGAAAGTCTACGGAAAAATTTCATAATCCCCCCAAAATGTATGCATTTAGTGCACTTTAACCAAATGATAAAAATAGTAAACAAGTTTTCATTTCTTTACAATGTTTTGAAATACGATTTAAAACTCAACAGAAGAACGTAATCGTTGAAAATATCAGTTTTAGTCGCAGTTACTTTCCTTTACGTAATAACTTTCAATGTGATTATCTAATCTAGACTAGGCTATTCATTATAAGACCTGCTGTACAATGTCCATAAAATAAACCGGCATTGTTGAATGTAACCGGAAATGTAACTAAATATACAAAAGTAGGTAGTACTAGTAATGATATAGTAACAAGCAATATTTAAAAAAGTCTATTTTCACTTCGATCTAAAAAAATGTTTATTTGTTTTTTTTATATTTTTCATAGAGAAAAATTTAAATCTTTCATGAAATTAGAACAAGATAAAATTGATTTGTCTTCATACGTATGGAATATAGAACGTATATAGAAAAATGTACAAGGTCTAATATTTTACAATTTGAAAAGAGGATTTAAAGAACATTAATAAAGTCAAGAGATCTTGGAAAAATTGTCGAAAGACCTGACGAAAGACTAAACTCAGCGATGAATAAAAGACTTTTATGATATGGCCTGTTATGCTTAAGATATAAAACACATATTTTTTATTTACATGTTTTTTCCATCCTTATTTTTTAAAGGATTGACATACGTA